TTCAAAGTAGGCTCACACAAGAAAAGGAAGAAGCCTTAAAAACGTACACAGAACTCCAAAAAGCATGCGATTAAATAGAAGGGTTTAAAATGAACGATACAGCATACTTTAATTGTATAGCTGATTAACAGAAAGAGATTCAAACTCTGAGAAACAAAATCTCCGAGCTAGAGGAACAGGTTAAAACTTTAACAACTAGAGAACATCCAGTTCTAAGTCCCAAACCTGCTTTCAGAGGTCTTCACTCACCTCCACCAGTGAAGAGATCCACTGAACCACCTGCTTTCAGAGGTCTCCCATCTCCTCTGGGAAGGAGATCTCCTGAACAACCTTCCTATAGTCACCTTCACACACCCCCTCGGGTAAGTGGACCTCCACCTCTACAGTCTTATCGAACTCAAGTTGATAAACAAGGACCAGGAGGACCCTCAGGTATGTACACCCACAAACCTTTGTCCCCCCTGGTAGGTCATAGACAACCTCTGGTAACATCAACAGTTGTGAAGACTGAACCATTCTCAAGTCAAATGAGAACTCAAGCCCAACATGGTCCAACAGATCGTGACTTGGACAAAATTGCCAAGAACATTTCTCGTTTTGATCTCACAACAGGTGGTCAAAATGACATTAAAGCCTACCTTGATGACTTAATGTTCTACCTAAGAAGGTTTCCTGAACTTACAGCTCAGCATTACATCTATCTGATTAAGTCAACAGCTAGCAGAGAGGTCACTAAGTTCATGGACTATCAACCAGCCCATGTACTAGCAGACCTGCGTTCTCTACGCTATTCTCTAGAAAGAGAGTTTTCAGACGAAACAGTACAATCTGGGCTGACTTCTGCGCTAAACACCAGACAAAGTAAACAAGAATCACCAAATAACTATTACTATAGACTCCTAAATGCCTATTTTGGGTCTAATAATTATCCAGGGATGGAAGAGGATGCTAACTTGAAAACTCTCCTCGTTCGAAACCTCCATCATTCAGTCAACACTCAACTTGGTGTGATGGCTAACACACGAACAGCCACAATCCACCAGTTGCGTGAATGGACGTCCTTAGCCTTTCAGAAGGTGAGACAGTCCAAACCAACTGAACCAACAGTCCTAGCTGTAAACACACGTCCGCTACCTCTGGAACTTGAAGGAACACGAGCAAACCCTGACTCCTACCGAGCCAAGTCTGCCCCTTCATCACCCAAGTTTAAGAGAACGCAACAGCATTTTCAAACTGAAAACCCCCACCAAGGTAAAAATCAGAACAGGTACTCAGGTTCTTGGAAAGATCATGGTTATCCAAGTCATGATCACCGGAAGTATAACAAGGATTATCAAGGAGGAAGTCGTTCTCCTAATTATAATCACAAATTTTCAGGTTATGATCAACCTGACAAAAGGCCAAACCATCAGTTCCAGAACCGTCACTCTAGATCTGAAACAGAACCACGTTCACCAGGTCAGAGATGTTCTGAAAAGATGAAAGAATCAAAACCTGAACGAGATGATGACGATAAAGGTTTCACTTCCAAAGAGATGGAAACGATCTGACGTATAGTAGAAGAAATGTGTAAACAGGAAAAGTCTATGAAGGCTGATCTCCAGTCTATAGCATCTTCTGTTCCAAAACCTGAGTCTCTAAATGTTACCAACAAGCCATTGGAACCACAAGCTAAGGAGATGAACCCTCCATCTGCGGCGGCAGATTGTGACCCCACTCCTGTAGCTGAAGTAGAGACTTCAGATGCTAACATGTCTGGTCCAGTAACAGAAACTGACCAGTCAAACATAACCAGTGATGTTTTAATAGTACAGAAGACTGCTGAAGATCCACTGTTTGAAAACGATCACTCCAGGATCTGAAAAAAAACTGCAGTACACACGTTTTTGTGTGACCTTACTGAAAAAGGGATAGCAAAAAAGTTCTATCTGTTGCTGACACTGGAACAAATCCTGTCTTGTGATGCTCTCCTGGACACAGGGGCTGACGTCACTTTAATATCTGCCACACTGTTTGAAAAACTACGGTTAGCAGCAAATCGTGCTGGCAAAGATGTAATCCTTCAGAACTGTTCATTAGAAGTACGACCGAACTCTTCAGAAGAAACCACCTTATCCCAGGTGGCACTGATTGAGATTCAGATTGGCCCAATGACTCTTATACACCCGGTATATGTGTCGCAAATGGAATCAATCCCTTTCCTAATAGGACAAGATCTTTTAAACCGGTTTCAGCTTTTGATCGATTTCAAAAATCTCAAAGTCTGGGCGCAGGTACGCTAACCGTTATCCATCGCTTTCTCTCCAGAAGTAACCTCTCAGTGTGCCACACTGAATACTTCTGATGAAACCAACATCTCCCAACCTGAAAACAACTCTCAGGAAAATGAGATCCTGCCCCAAACCCAGGTAATGCCAGCCACACCTGATCAACCGTTGAAGCTAGCACTAGCCCAACGTGAAATGTTCTTGTGCTCGCTGAGCCAATCACCATCCAGTGAATATTACCTCCCACAAGTGGTTAAAGGTGTTAAGGTTCAGGAATCTCAAGTGAATGATGTTGTGTTGTCTCTTTGGACTGACAAGTCTGCCATCAGCCAAGACCTTTATGAGGGCTTAGTGCTTAAACACGCTAACCTCCAATGGTTAGAAAGATTTTTTATTTCCAAATGCTGTAATTGCAGCAAAAGGTGGCACTACAAAGTATTAACACAAAGGGGGCCAAATAATATTGCATGCCCCACTTTTCAGTTTTTTATTTGTTAAAAAAGTTTGACAAATCCAATAAATTTCATTCCACTTCACGATTGTGTCCCACTTGTTGTTGATTCTTCAAAAAAATTAAAATTTTATATCTTTATGTTTGAAGCCTGAAATGTGGCAAAAGTTTGAAAAGTTCAAGAGGGCCAAATACTTATGCAAGGCACTGTATGTTAAACATGAGTAACTTAACTTGTCTCTAGCAGATATGTAACCTAGACAGCAATTTTGTGGCTCTCTTCCTCTACTTCTAGTTCGTCCTTATAAAATACAACTTAAGAGCTTAAATTGAAACTTGAAATTCTTTGTTACCAACACCCTGTCAGAAAGACACATTTTGTTTACAATTCTTTAGTTGAACCTATGAAAAATACTTATTATAAATGTCCCCCGCCCAAACGCACCGATTTTGTAGAAGTAATCTATAAATCTATAGATGTGTAGATACAGCTCAACAGCTAAACATGCAAGCTCTATTGCAACAGTTCCATAAAAAAGTATTGGATTAATAAAAGGTTCTTGTGAATTTGTAAAAATTAAAAACATAGCTGAGTAATAGAAACTCAGTATGCTGTTCATTTCAAGTCATTTGTTGTTCCATTTTACTTTGAATAAAAAAAAAAAAGAATTGGAACAACCAA